ACATACGATCCACCGAAAGAAGCAGAGCAAATAGCAGAAGATAGAAGGAAGGTAGTTAACACCTTAGCCACCAGAAGGAAGAGCAGTAGCTAGATCCTCCCTTTACGAAGTAATGCCTGACGGCGGTTTCCATGAGGGATTAGAGGAACGAGGAAAGGGGTTTAGGGTTTAGTGGGTAGGGGCGTCAGCGTCAAGTTTTAGTACGACGCTGCGTCGAGTCACCACATATCCGGGCCAACGTCTATGCCTAGAATCCGTAAAAAGGATTCCCCCCCCTAAAGGAAAAAAAAAAACACACACACACACACACACCCACACACACACCCACACACACACACACACATACAGACATAGTGACAACATCGCGGGGATAGTCAGGGAAGCTTCCTGTGACCTTCAAACGTCGAGATCTGATGAAAACTCGATTTTTGTAAAACGGGGTGAAAACAATTTCCCGATTTTTGAAAATCTTTGATTTTTAGCGGGAAGTTAAAAATAAAAAATGTTGGCATCTATGTATTTTGAACGAAAATGAATGAATCCTGCTTATTTTTATAATGTTAAAAGCTCTTAAAAGTGCAACTAGAACCCTTGAAATCTTCCGGAAGGTATATCGGGTGATTTCAGGTAAGACTGCAATAATTAATAATTATAAATTTATCAATTATACACGGAGAGAATTTTATATTAACCCTAACAATACTTGTTTTGTAGATTTTACTATCTTAAGTGGTAATTAATTTTATAAAAGTTAAAATGATAAATATAACAATTTAAATTATAATTAGACCAATAATAAAATGATAATTTCTAAAATAGAGCGATCGTAACATTTACTATCGAGATGGTTACATTTACCATCACAAGTGGTTAAAGTTACCAATTGTGTTATAAGCAAGCTTTTCAGTAAAAGTAAGCACTGAATTAATTAACAACATTATCAATAATATAATAATAATAATCTATATTATTAAGAGAATAAGCAGAATTTTGTGGCCAGGGTATTTATATGATAAAATGTATTTTTTATGGTTAAATTTGGTATCGTTCGAAAAGTCTTGATCTGGAATTGTTCCTTTTTATGGTTTCATATTATTCTCACTAATAGTTAATTTATGCTGATAAGTATTTAGGCTGCATTCGAAAATGCTTTAACTCGAGTTACATAATTAAGAAATTACCTTGAACCTTGTGAACTATTGACATTTTTTAAGATATAAGCTCATTCCGATGTTAAACTTATCACGATCTTTCATTCAAGTACCCACATCATTTTTTCATATATTTATATATATGTATATATGAAAAATATATCAAAATCCATGTGGGTACAGAAATGAAAGCTCTTGATGAGTGTAACATCGGGATGAGTTTACCGAGCTATCTAATAATTTTTAGATAGCTCGGGATGGACGGTGTGGCTTAATGTATATAGAATAAGTGAAAGGAAATTTAGTATAGACCGGATAGCTCAAATGGTAGAGTAGCCGACATGTCTTCGGAAGCTTCTGGGTTCGAATCCCAGTCCGAGCTATCTAATAATTTTTTTTTCTCACATATTCTATACACTCACATTAAGAAGTTCCTCTCCATAATCCTTTCTCAATCCTTTCCTACCAATCATCCTGTTACGTGAATGTTGGAACGCTTTTCGTAATAAATTATCCGTAACTCCTATTCTTTCCCGCTTCACACCATTATTTATATTTGTTATTCTCAACACACATTTCAAACAAGTTAATAAAAATTTTGTATATTGTTATCAAATACTCTTAGAGGACATTATAAAAAACAAATTTAGAAAATTCGTTTCAATTTTCATTTATTATTATAGTAACTTAATACTTAAAAAAAAAGTAGTTAGTTAAGATTTTAAGTTAGTGTTAATGAAAGTTTTTATATTAGTGGTATTGATAGTCATGATAAAAATCATTACGTTGAACAATTTTATGTTTCGGTTATAAATTTATTGATAACTCTTAAAATTTTAACATTTTGAGTAATCAAATATGCACTGTAAAAAAAGCGGTGTTAAAAATGGACTCATTTTAACACCGCTTTGTAACACCTGTGTATCAACACCGGTGTCGCGGTGCTCTTTTGCAGTGTTAAAAATCCGGTGTAATACCGGTGTAACAGTAGAATAAATTTACACCGTATCGGAGTATGAATATTATATGATCCATAAAACACAATTGATATTCAATATTTTTCAAAATGAGACGAGTAACATTTATTTAAGAATTTTCAATTTATAAAATAAGGCAGAAATCGATTTAATGAATGTTATACAACAAGTTAAATAATATTTACAATATTAAATGTTTAGGAACAATATAATAATTATTTTTATCATAACTCTCATGTTTCTCATAATATAATGGATATTTTAAACATGATAAATTAATTATATGATAACACCGGTTTTTTTACAGTGTAGTAATAACTAATGAAAGTTACTAATCACGATTTATTCGAGATAACTGACTCTTCTATTTTATAATACTATTAACTTTTTTTTAAGTGATTTGATGATTAATAATAAATATTTACCTGACTTAATACGATCTATCGAACACTCACGTGTCTTACATTTCAAAAAACCTGTAATAAATTTTGTAGAAAATTAGTCTATAAAATTGGTTCGTGATTTTATAATTTTTCATGTAATAAGTACTAATTCAAACCTTCAGATAGTTTATGAACATTATCACTAGAATTTTTAGCTAACGCTGTAAAAAATAACATAACTATATTTACTTTCAAAAATGAACTTTCGTGTCTAGTAGCCATAGTTTATTTAATAATTTTGGATTTCAGAGCAATTGACACTTTCTTCACTCTCGCACTCAACAAAACTTTGCGAAGAAATAATGAAATATAAAAATAAAATTACTCTATGTTTTACTTTTTATTTGAATGATCAGCAGTCTAATGAACTCGCACTTACAAAACCGGTCACTGTATCGAATTAATAAATGGGGAAACATTAACCCAGATAACTAAACATGCTGACAAAAATTTCAAGTTCTGTGATTGCATGTACAGTGAAGTGCAGACAGAATCAACTCAGCAAAATTCGATTTGCAATTATATTATGTACTAGTTGTAATAAAGAAATGTTTTCATCATTGTCTTAAATATTTATTAACCATATAAATTCGTAATTTAATTTGATACATAGTAACACATTTTCAGAACTTACAAAAAATGTATAACTTTACTTGATTTTGTTTTTCACAATTAAAAAAGGACACACTTGTTTTTAGGATTCATATTGGAACCTAAAGGACAATTGAAATCACGCGCAAATTCTGGTATATTCGAAAGCGATCCAACAATCCGAGAGCTGGACGGCGGATGTATATCCTCACTTTCGGCTTTTATTTCTGTGGGTAGAAGTGAAGTACACCAACTACTCGCGTAAGACAACCAAAACAATTGATTGGAAGTGTATGAAGACATTTCAGGTAGGCTTGGTTCAGGTCCATTTCTCTTTGCCCAATCTTGATAGGCAAGATAAGCTATTCTCACGCCAATGTTTTCCGCAAAGTTTTCATCTAGAGTTCTTGTGCCATTCATCTGAAAGCAAAAAAAATTAATCAACTGATTCTTTTCATACGGATGGTTCTCATTCCTAATAATTTAATCCATTTTTGCGTTACTTTCTGATCAAGTCCTTCAATAGTATAATTACTATATTGGTTAACAAAACACTGTGCTTTATCACGATATTTTTTGTCTGTTTCATTAGTCCACCAATCATTTAGATACCCGATTTTGTCATTCTTTCGACTGTTATAACTCAATGCATGAGCTATCTCATGGCCAATAATCGTCCCCATAGATCCATAATTTATGTAACTGGGACGGTTAATGTCGAAAAATATGCCTTGAAGCTCTGCAGCAGGTATCTCTGAAATATTCAAAACATTAATTACTATTGTGATAATTCTTCATTCGGCCCTAATGATAACCCTTTATAAAAGTGAAACTTATTTTCTGACGGAAGTAAAATTTTTAAGTCTTAAAAAAAACTAACATCAGAACAGTTGATATGGTAACACTTACCCTGGCAACAGTTGTTATAGAAATGGTTACAATAATAGATGTTACTATCACGATTAATATAACAACAATGACCATAGTAACTAACGGAGATAAACATCGACTATTGCGCGACAAACTTTTCTTTTTTTAACTTCCCGCTAAGAAAATTGAAAATTTTCAAAAATCGGGAAGTTATTGGTTTTACCCCGTTTTGCGAAAATCGAGTTTTCATCAGATTTTGACGTTTAGAGGTCATAGGAAGCTTCCCTGAATGTTTTCGTGATGATGCCCGTATGTGTGTGTGTGTGTGTGTTTTTTTTTTTTTTGGGGGGGGGAATCCTTTTTACGGATTCTAGGCATAGTTGTTGGCCTGGATATGTGGCGACTCGATGCAGCGTCATACTAATACTCGACGCTAACGCCCCTATCCACTAAACCCTAAACCCCTTTTCCTTCTTTCCTCTAATCCCTCATGGAAACCGCCGTCAGGCATTACTTCGTGAAGGGAGGATCTAGCTACTACTCTTCCTTCTGGTGGCTAAGGTGTTAACTACCTTCCTTCTATCTTCTGCTATTTTCTCTTCTTCTTTCGGTGGAACGCAAGTCTTTGAGGACTTCTGTTGCAAACGTGTTGGTAGCGTTCCAGGCAGCTTCTGACGACAACATTGCTTCCACTAGTGAATCTGGTTGCATTCTCTGGTTCAGGATCCTCTCCAACTCTTCACGTTGTGGATCGAAACGAGGACATACAAAGAAGACGTGCTCCGCATCTTCAGCAACTCCTGGGCAGGACGGGCACTCCGAAGAGTCATCGTGCTTAAAGCGGCGTAGATACTCTCGAAAACACCCATGTCCCGACAACATCTGCGTAAGATAGTAATTGACCCCACCGTAATTCCGGTTAAGCCAAATGTCGATCCGACGTATGAGACGGTGCGTCCACCTACCCTTCTCTGCAGCATCCCATTGTAGTTGCCATCGGCCTATGCTCTTCTGCCGTTCTTCAATTCTAAGTTCTTCAGGGCTCAGTGCAGTTGACCTTTTTCGTTGGTAAAGGTCCCGTCTTTCCTCTGCTAGAATTCTAAGAGATAGGGTTCCAGCAATAACGCACACTGCTTCTTCTGATATAGTGCGGAAGGCACTAGCTACTCGTAGGGCACTTAGTCGGTATATTGGTCTAGCTTTTCTCCATGATTCTTGGGTTTCCAGTGCATCAGTCCAAATGGATATTCCGTAAGTAAGCACTGATGTGACTACTGATGACAATAGTAGCCTCCTGCTCTGCATTGGGCCTCCGATGTTAGGCATCAGCCGTGCGAGACTAGCCTTCACTACTGACGCTTTGGCACTGACATGTTCTACTTGCTGCTTGGAGTTGAGTCGTGTATCCAGCATCACTCCCAGATAACGGATAAATGGTTGTGATATGATTTCTTGTTCTCCGACTCTCAACTTAATGGTTTCTACCGTTTTTCTGCTGGCGATGAGCACTGCCTCGGTTTTATGCTTGGCCAGTTGCAAGTTCATCATGTCCATCCACAAATTGACTCGTCTGAATGTAATATCAAATGCCAGTTCTATCTCTTCGAGGTGCTTTGCGACAATCACGACAGCTACGTCATCCGCATATGCTACAAGTTTGACTCCCGTGGACAATGCTATTCTCAGGAGGCCATCATACATGATGTTCCATAGCAAAGGACCTAAGACTGATCCCTGTGGCACTCATCCAGAGATTTCGTACACTTCCGTACCGTTCTTCGTGTCATATTACAGGACCCTATTCGTGAAGTAGCTCGCTACTATTCTGCAAAGGTATCCTGGTACGTTTTTTTCCTCTAGAGCCCGCATAACACAGTCCCAATTAGCGGAGTTGAAGGCATTCTTGATGTCCAAAGCAGCACCCAAGCAGTATTTCTTCTTTCCACTCATCCATCTCGTTCCAGCGATTGCATCCTTAGCTGCATCAACAACCAATTTGATTGCATTCAGAGTTGACCGTTCTTTTCGGAAACCGAACTGGTTCTCGGCCAGAAGTGGATCGACTAAAGCCTCTATTCTCTGATGAATTAAGCGTTCGAATATCTTGCCGGCCGTGTCTAACATACAGAGTGGTCGGTAGGATGATGGTTCTTCCGGCGGCTTTCTTCCCTTTGGAAGTAACACTAGCCGTTGCTGTTTCCACTTCCGGGGAAAAGTCCCTTTCTTCAGGCATGTATCGTAGACGTCCAGAAATAATGTCGGTGCTGCCCTAAGGATTGATTTCAGGGAAATATTAGGGATTCCGTCCAATCCCGGTGCCTTATTATTCCCCTCTCTACTGCCTGCCTCTATC